AGTCTATGCTGTAGAAGGTGATGTAGATGCAGATGACTTTGAAGGGTTTTGAGCAGACCCAGGAGACGTGACTTTGGGTGTGCTCGTGGTAGCAGGTCTTAGATGGGTCGTAAGTGCAGAGCGTGGTCTTCTTGGCACGATCCACTTTCTCGTACTCCACGCGGCAGTTGAAGATTTTGGATTCTTTGGCCTCGATGAAGATCTGTTGCTCCAGGTCAAACTCCACTGCCTTGGTGGGGGGGACGAGGCTGACGGAGATGTTGCCTTGCCCGGTAGAGTTGTGTCGAAAGAAGACGTTGACTGTGCCGTTGCCGTGATCAACCACCTTTCCAGTGATCAAGAGGTTCAACTTCACTGTCTTGATATTGGAATAGAAATCTCCCCAGCCAAAAATTTTTTTAAGCTTGCCTGAGGCTGGCCCCAAGTCCCTCTGTCCTCTAGGGTGTGGAGCATGGTCCTGCTTGGACAGGTTGTCCAGGATATCCCATAACTCCCATGATCTGCTCACCAGCTCCAGAAGGGTCATGTTCTGCAGTAAGGTTGGAGGTAACAAGGGCTTTGGAGAGAGCAGCCCTCTTGTCTTCTGCACTTGATCTCCCTCCTGGGTCTTGGGTTCCCGTTGCTCTGCACCTTTCCCTGCTTCTTCTTGGCCACAGATCACCTGAACACAGTGATGGGGGAGAGTGAGAGATGGGTGATGGGTACCTGCCCCCCCCCCTTGCCCAGTCTTGCTCTCCAGAGTCACCTTGCTTCTCCAGATGTGACCCAGCCATCCTCTTTCCCATCCTTGCTTACTTTATTTCCCTTTTCTCTCACCTTTCCTCTGTTTCTCTCTCCAGTCCCTATTTCCCTGCTAGTAGCAATTTTCACACAATCACAGAACGTTGGGGATTGGAAGGGACCTCTAAAGATCATCCAGTCCAACCCCCCTGCCAGAGCAGGATCACCTACAGCAGGTCACACAGGAACACATCCAGGTGGGTTTTGAATGTCTCCAGAGAAGGAGACTCCACAACCTCTCTGGGCAGCCTGTCCCAGTGTCCTGTTCTCATTCTCCTCTCGTGGTTGCTCAGGGAAGGGGTGGAAGGAGCTGGGATGGGTGCATTTTGCCTGGCAGTGGCACCTCTCTCAGGGAAGAGCACTTGCACCTGGGGGATCTCTGCAGATGTTGGGGAGAGGGTGCGATGGGGGAGGATGCACACCTGCAATGAGGGTGCTCACCTCGTGGACTTCACTCCAGTCTCGCTGCTGACAGCACATCCCACAGACCCCTCTTGTCACCCTTGTCACCTCCAAACTATGCCGTGGTCTGGTGGAGACATGGAGCTGGGAGCAGTGGGGCAGCAAGAGGGATGAGCAAAGTGCAGAGGTGAGTTCTCACCCCAAGGAGATGCCCACCAATGCTAACAACCATGCATGGGCTCCTCTGCAAACTCTGCTCCTGCCAGCACGGGAACTCTGCCTGCCACCAGCCATGGACCCCAAAATAAGCACCAATGGCAACTGGGGGGGCTGCTGGGGTGGGAGCTGCCAGGCTGTGGGCACCCATTGAGCTGGGAGGGTGCCTGGGTGGGAGGCAGATGCTGCAGCCCCATCACCATCAGTGCTGGATGGCCAAGTAAATGCCACCATGATCCCTGGGGGTGTCCAAGGGGTCGCCGGGCACCAGGGAAGCCAAGGTTGAGCTTGGCCTGTCCCAGAGCTCTGCCCCAGCCCAGGGGTGTGGGTGAGCTGCCCCCAGCACCTATACTGGGGGGGGGAATTCTGTGCTGGGAGGGGGGTGTGTGTGTGTGTGTAGATTTTTGGGGTGCTATGGAGGTGCCTTTATCACCAACCCTGCCCACTCCCCACCCCCTCCCTGCTGCAAAATAACAGAAGTTTTTGAGATGCTTGTTTTTTCCAGGG